TCCGAGGCACCGTTAACGAGTTATTAACGAAAAACAGTGACCGATGAGAGGCGAGCTCAGCTGGCGCGAGGCGACCGAGCCAATGAACGGAACTGGGCTTCGTGCGCTGGGCCGCCTCGCGTCAGCCGTACTCGATTCTTATTGGTCACTGTTTTTCGTTAATAACTCGTTAACGGTGCCTCGGAGAACATTTTTGTAAAGGAAGAAATTGCTTCGAATGATCCGAGGAACCCGCCATTTCCGGATTGCGAGACATTTTTGAGACACCCTGTACAGGGAATTGTTTCTATCGTTTCATAATAATTTATCTAGCTTCGTACAGGTTCGGGTGTTACTGTACAGTGAATTCTCTGTAATTGACGCTCGAATTGTGCGCAAAAATGGACTATTTCAGAAGAAAAGGTACGATTATTCGAGCTTTGCACCTCGTTTTTATAATTGTTGACACTACTAGGCAACTATAAAAATGAGTCGCGATTAATCTTCTTCCCAAATTGTCCATTTCTGTGCAGAATCTGAGCGTCAATTAGGGAGAATTTACCGTATTTGGTTTTATAAGTTCGAGCTGGTGAGCAGTTTCAAGTTCTCGGCGCGACGTCGATCTTGAATTTTCGAACTCGGTTGAGAGGTACTTTCGTTTCAATTGAAAAACTGTGCAGTGGGAAAATTGAAAGAATTGAACGTTTTTAAAGCACGGTGTAAGAACTGCTGAAAGTTTTCTCGTTACAGGAATGACCGTTTTGTCCTTACAGTAGAAATGTGCGTGCCACGTTACTATAACACCTCTCCGTAGAACTCGGACAAGAGAGCACGAGTTTGTGTTTCTTTTCAATTCGATGGCGTGCAGTTTCTGCTCGGAAACTGAAGAAGCTTTCGAGCGGATCCACGCGTTCCAATAGAAGAAAATCGTATTTAAAACGTAAACGGCCGCTTTCGTTTCACGGCTACGTGCGAGAGAACATTAAACAAGCATGTGCGTGTGTGTGTGTTATATTGTGATGCTGACATGTTCGTAATAAATTTGGTTCGCGAATGTTCCGGTATGTTATCAATTCGGTGTATGTCGAATTTACGAACAACTATGGACGCATAATAAGATCTCTGTAACCTGTTTGACTCGCATAACACGGTTTCATCGCGCGGGGTTTACTGTACACAGTACAGCTCATAATTATTCAAGCGACGGGAATTCCGTACTTTACCCTGCTTTTCAAAGGCATGTATAAATGCACGCTATTGTTACGGAGAACGGCTTTAAGATAGAACAGACTAATTGGAATTTTAATTGAAACTCGAAGTCTGTGCGAATTAATTTTTGGCAGTCGAAGCAAGATTTTTCCTTCGATGAGAAACGGAAAAGTAGACGACGAGAATTACATCGACGATCGTTAAACGAATTTTTTAATCTCGTAGCTAACCGAATGACAGCGTCAAGCGAATCTCTATTAAATAATTAATATAATCGTAGAGTTTACATTACTCGTGCGAGAATTATTACAAAATTCGCGCGCCACGGGTTTGCGTTAATTCGTTTATCGAATTATGTTATAAATGTATGCGCATATGTTTGTGTAAGTAAACAACATCCATAAACTATTGAAAGTGAACGTACTAAGCAGCAGATAAATTGCTCGTATCGCGGTGAACGCGTTAATATCGGGATGTGATTGAAACAGTAATGACGAATTATGCAACATTTATTACCCGATCGTGGATATTAATCCGATTTCGGATTGAACGAGGAAATTTCCGCCATCCAAAATCGTCGACTATCAAAAATAAGATTAACATATTGAAATTAATTTAAAAATCTCCACTGATCTGACTTATAAATTTCGATTCGATGAGAGAAAAGTGTCGGCACAAAATTGCTTTAAAAAATGCAACAACCTCTCCCAGAATTGACACATTCATAAAATAAAGAAAGAATTATGTTTCCTAGAAAAAAAATCACGAAAAATTCCTTATGAATTCCGATGAAACTTCGCAGGTTAATGAGATTCCATTCTGAATTTTCCTCAATGTCGTGATCCCTTATTTTACACGCTGTTCTCTCAAACACAATGCATGTTCATACTAAGAAACTAAATTCATAAAATGACAGAATCGCTGCATTTCTCATTGTTTCATTTATATTCCATACATTTGTTCAATTGTAGTCTTTAGTTTTTAATACATCTCATTAATTAAAGGAGAAACAATTCGCGGAGTTCCAAAGCAATTGTGAAATTGCTGTTCAAGATAATCACTAATTGAAGTCAGTGGAAGCGTCGCCAATGTAGTAATCTCCTATGGAGTAAGGCAGAACAGTTCCAACATTCAGCAGAACATGATTTAACTCATACATGGTAATACCTATCAATAGTGTCCAATATCTGCACTACTGTTCATATGGGCGCGTAATACTATCGCGAGATTGCATTTACGGAGTAAATATGTATCCGTTTACGTAGATCATACTAGCTGTATGAAAATCACATCAGAATGTGATAAAAAAATTATACACTAATTGCAACACCGAATAACCATTACATCATTTAACAAAACGAAATGTCGAAGTCAAATGATGTCTCACTAAATGATTACAAATTATTTCGAAGTTGAAGCTATGTCGTTGAAACAATCGTCTCAGACAGTGTCGCTTCTATTGCCACTTTAACGACATGAAACTATTATATATTATATTATACATACATATACACAAAGTGTATTGAAAATTGTCGTACAGCCAGAAACGTGCTATCTGCGCAAAAGATCAAAATACGAAAATATGTTGCTTCACTGTACTTTTATTGAAATCATTTTCAAATGTTTTAATGGGACAGACAACAGGCTGTTATATAAGCAACATATTTTATAGTACAATAATATTTAGTGATAAACATAAAATACAATCGTTTAGGTTACATTATTTACATTAAATAAGTAATAACTGAATATATTTGTATTTTTTTAATACCAAGCGTTAAAACGACTTCCTCGCAAATAAACGTGTGACATGGACTAAAACATACTATTTATTACAATTGAAAAACATGGTTTGTAGCAGAGAGTTGAGGAAAATTTTATTCGGAGATAAAAACTAACGAATACAATTTTATTCGACGCTATCGAATGAATACGCAATCGAATATAAAATCCATATAAAAATTGATCCGAATAAAGAAATTGAATCGTACTGGAATTCATACGTAAAATAATCGATATGAACGAAAACGATAGAATATAAAGTATTGTTTTCATATAGTTTCTCGATTTATTTCTTCAATATTCCTTATTGCAATTAATTTTTCCTTCAAACGTGAAGAAAATGAAGGATGAGCCATGTTTTCGGCTGCACGACATTTTCCTGGAAAATTGTGAGCGCGGCGGCAACCGCTTTGAGGCGATCCGGAGAGTAAGCAAGCATTTTTACTCACTGACATTCAAACCCGACCGAAGGGACGAGTTGGTCGAAGCGTCTTCTGCCGGGACAAGGACCTCGTCCCTATTTCCGTCAGCTCGAGGCACTGTTTCCGCTTCCGTCTCCGGCACCTCTGCCGCGTCCCGAGACGAGAAAGAGCCCCCGTTCTCATCGAGCGTTTTTCTACCCTCCAGAGACGCATCCCAGCTAATGAACAACATAGCCAACCATTTTTTCCACTCTCTCTCACTCCCCCTCTTTCTCTCCCTCTCTCTCTCTTTCTCTCCATAAAATGAAAAGAATACACGTCGCAGCCCGAAGACCATCCTCCTTTCAGCATGTATAACATCGTGTACCTCTTTAAGTTACGCTCTACACACACTCTCAGCCCCGTCCCTATATTAAAAATTTCTGACGTGGAAGCGGAGAGACCATCGGAGTCTCCTGCCGGACCGTGCACATATTTCGCTTGCACAGCGACGCGTGCTATTGCATTATGGGCTAACACGGTTGATGACGCCTGGTAACTTTGTTTTTTTGATACTTTTTGCGATGCTTGTTTCGTTCTGGATCCGTTGCGAATTCGTTCGCTTTCTCTCTCGACGGATTTTTGTCTGACACAACCCCTGGCGAAAAGCACTCGATCACCTTTTAAACAGCAATAAATTTGAAAAAAAAACTGGATCAAATGACCTTAATTTTTGTTTAACATTTACATGGCCTAGTTCACCGTGCAATCACTAAAATACTTCCTTTTAATGTTGCTATTGCTTGGAATGAGAAAAAAGATTTAAAAAAGCACTCGCTTTTCAACTTTTTCATCTGTTAACCTGCCAAGACAAATACTGAACCCTGATAAGAGATATTAAATTTGTGTATTCGAAGATAAACGAAATAGAGGAATGAAAAAATAATTCAAAAATAAGCAAAATGAAGAAAAGGGCTCCGCCGCCCTAACCTGCAAGACTCGCAAAAGGTCACAGTAACATTTGCATAACAGAAGCAAGGCTTTCTCAGTTTTCTTCAGGGACTTCCCAATTTCCACATTTTCCAACGCTGGAAGTTCTCCCGGCGCAAGTTCTTCCAATTCGGTACGCAACCGCACAAAGTATAATTAACATGTTGGTTTGGTCCCTTCGCAAAGGCTGCACGAAGAAAAATGTCGCCGCCTTTGGCAAGCTTTCAGAGCCAGGTGTGTTCCACCAACATTCGCCGTGGCCACGGTGTGCTCACGGTGAGAGCGTATAAAAGCCGATTATCCCGCGGCTAATGAATACACAAAGCAAGTCTTCGAACGGAAATCGTTGGAGCGCGGCGAACTTTTCGACGTTGTTGCGTTTTACACCGTCGCGGATATTCGAATAATGCAGAAACGGTTGCATCATGGGTGCATGTGCGGTTACCGCGTCGGGTTTCGCGGGAGCAGAGGGGGTTAAAAAACGCGCGCGCGGTCGCTTCTGGCGTTAAACGGTCGCGTTTACAGCGATGTGTCATTAAGGTAGCAGAACTGACAATTTCAAGAATACGTACGAGCCACGCTTTCCATCCCTGCACGCTCGCTTCGCGGCGTATCCTTGAAGCGAGCGGCGCGCCGCACCGCAAGGCAGTCGCTGAACGCGTCGTCGCAACGGGGATGGAACGGAAATGGAAATTTCAATTATCGTTTGAGCGAGAAAGGCCGCGCGGTTCGGTTATAGCGGAGATAATTTCGCGGGAATATCGGTGGCTACGTTCCCAAAGAGCCCCGATATTCCGACAATCTCAATAACGCCGACGCGGAGACATGTTGTTCCCATTGTTCGCGATTCTGACGATTGCGAATGAAAATGCCGCGAACGCGAAGATTCTTTTATTAGCGGCGACGACGTTCCGGCAGGTACGACCGCCCCGGGCTGCATTATTTCGCCGGCAAGGATCCTTTAGCACAAGCCGCCACGGTAATTACGATTCGTGCCGCGGTGTAATTGAGACGAACGAATTGGACGCTGCGCCGCGCCGACGTTCCCGAATCCAACGAATCCACCGGGAAAATATGAAAACGTCGATTTAAGCACTTCATTTCACGAGGGAATTGCTGCAATATCTGAATAGGAATATTTGGAATTGTATTGGAAATAATTCGTGTAATACTCCTGTTTCTGTGAAACAACGTCTCAAGATTTATTTGACGTCATGGAGGAAAGTAGATGTATTTACTGCGGTTCTTTATGCGAGATAAACATTTCCCAGGACGATTGCAATAAAGAGAAATTATATATAAATATATTGTTTCTTCGAATTATTTTGACAAATGGAAAATATAGTGTAACAATATTATTAAATTCATCTCATGACTTCACAGTTTCATAGTCCTGCTACTCGTTTAATTGAAATAGTATTTTCCTAAGATGTACTGGAAATAGCTATTTGAAACATCTAACTTTTTTAAAAAAGAGATTGCAACTCTATAACTAGTACGTTGATTTTCAAAAAAATAACTGGAGTATTGGAGATCGTAATTGACTCCAAATAAAAAGTGCAAGAAAACGTGTGAATCTTATTCTAGATAATAATATAATATAATATATAATATAATATAATATAATATAATATAATATAATATAATATAATATAATATAATATAATATAATATAATATAATATAATATAATAT